AGGAAGGAAGGAAGGAAAGGAAGGAAGGAAGGAAGGAAGGAAAAGGGAATAGCAGAGGTTGGAGCTCAGTGCAAGCAGGGAAGTAAAAACCCTTGGAAGAGCATCCCCATCTCTCCTTTTTTCCATCTCTCCCTGCAAAATTATCTTTTCTTAATCACTGCCCCTGAATTCCTGCCATAAATGGCAGGAATTTAGGAAAAAAGTGTCTCTCCGCTCTGAATTGGTGCCTGAACTCCTTTTTCCCAATTTTTCACCTGGAGACAATGATGGCACAGGCTCCATGGAAACCCTGGACTCCATGGAAACCCTGGGAACTCTGAACTCCATGGAAACCCTGGACTTTCTGGGAATTCTGTGTGCTCCCCATTCCCAGCTGGAGGAATTTCTGTGGTCCCGAGCTTTAGGAAGCTTCAGGAGCTTCCAGGGCTGCTCCAGGCAGATCCAGGAGGAGCTGGGAGCAGAGGGATTGGGAAGAAATCCCTGGGATCTCCTCAGGCTTCCCTCAGCCGAGTAATGTCGGTGTCATTGAATGGCAGAAAAACCCCATGGATTGATTTTGGGGCTTTCTGGCTCCTCCATCGTCTGCTCCTGGAGCTGTCGTCCTGTTCCTTCATCCGCTGGGATAGAATTCCTGTTCCCACTTCTCCCTCTCGCTGCTGATGTCCCTGCACAGTGACCAGAGCTGTCCCTGCAGTGACCAGTGCTGTCCCTGCACAGTGACCAGAGCTGTCCCTGCACAGTGACCAGTGCTGTCCCTGCAGTGACCAGAGCTGTCCCTGCAGTGACCAGAGCTGTCCCTGCACAGTGACCAGTGCTGTCCTTTCAGAGTGACCAGAGCTGTCCCTGCACAGTGACCAGTGCTGTCCCTGCAGTGACCAGAGCTGTTCCTGCACAGTGACCAGAGCTGTCCCTACAGAGTGACCAGTGCTGACCCTGCAGTGTGACCAGAGCTGTCCCTGCACAGTGACCAGAGCTGTCCCTGCACAGTGACCAGTGCTGTCCTTTCAGAGTGACCAGAGCTGTCCCTGCACAGTGACCAGTGCTGTCCTTTCAGAGTGACCAGAGCTGTCCCTGCAGTGACCAGAGCTGTTCCTGCACAGTGACCAGAGCTGTCCCTGCAGTGACCAGAGCTGTCCCTGCACAGTGACCAGTGCTGTCCCTGCCGAGTGACCAGAGCTGTCCCTGCAGTGACCAGGGCTGTCCCTGCAGAGTGACCAGGGCTGTCCCTGCAGTGACCAGAGCTGTCCCTGCAGTGACCAGAGCTGTTCCTGCACAGTGACCAGTGCTGTCCCTACAGAGTGACCAGTGCTGACCCTGCAGTGTGACCAGAGCTGTCCCTGCAGAGTGACCAGGGCTGTCCCTGCAGAGTGACCAGTGCTCTCCCTGCAGTGACCAGTGCTGTCCCTGCAGCTCCTGGGGACAGAGCAGGAGCTGCCCCAGCCCAGCTGAGCCTGGAGCTCCGGGATCTTTGGGATCACCAGAGGCTGGAGCTGGGAGGAGCTCTTTTCCTCTCCATCCTTCCCTCTCTCCATCTTTCCCTCTCTCCATCCTTCCCTCTCTCCATCCTTCCCTCCAAATCCCAGGAATTCCAGTTCTCTCCCTGTCTCTGCACACCTTTAACCCCTGGGCTGTATTTTAGGAAGCTCCGAGAGGTTTTAAGGAGGATCCCAAGCCTTTTCCTCCCTTTGGTGGCCCTGGCTGGGCTTCAAACGTAGATTTTTGTCATTTCCCGAGGTCTGAATGCTGGATTTGCAGGTGCAGATCCTTCCCTGTGGCTCTCCCAACCCTGGATCAACAGAATGGCAGAAGGGACTGCCCAAAACAGGGCTTAGCAAAGCCTGAGCTGCCCTGTCTGGAGAGGGATTTCCCTGCCACCACCTGGGCTAAAAAGAACGAGGAATTGGCATTTAAAGGGAAAACTGCTCATCAGGGCTTAGCCAGGAAATTCTGGGATTGGGATTGCCCAGGCTGGCGCTGTTTTCTCTGGGATTGAGGAATCAGAGCCAGGGAAAAGTCCCTAAAACCACCCTTGGGATGGACCCAGCGGCAACACCAATCAATTCTCGTTAACTTTGGTCAACTGCTTTACTGGGAGACAGAGATTTCAACAGGCAACATCAATTCCCAACCAGTCCTGTGGGAGCTCAGCTCAGCATTCCTGCTTTTCCAAGCCTCTGGAGTGGAGGGGGCTCCTCAGCATCCCAGTGCTTCCTTGGGATGTCTGGCAGCCATCGGAGCTGGAATCCAGAGCCGCTTCCTGGCTGGATCTCAGCCTTTGCAGTCCCAATCCCAGCCTGGAATTTTGGCTGGATGAATTCTCAGTGCAGGGCGATGACTCCGAGTCCAAATCTTCCTTGTTGTTCCAGTGGTGGCTTCCTGGAGTCTCCCATTCCTCTTTTCATTTTGTCATTTTTTAAAAGTCCTTCTCTCAGCTCCTCTGAAATCGGATTTATTGACACCTCCATTTTTAGGCAGAGCTGCCCCAGTTAGGGATTCTGGGAGAGGAACCCCTTCTCCCCAAACAGAAAGGAAAGAGGCAAACAGGGTGACAAATCCACCCCCAAAGCAGGTGGGATATGGGAAAACACGGAATTTGCACCTCACAGCTGAGACAAGCACCAGGCTGGTGCGGCAAGTG